GGATCATGTTTATTTAGGAAGTATATTGTGGTAGAAGTGTTTACGGCGGAATGTTAGTCATAATCAATATGGTGGACCGCTTAAACGAAGGAAGGCTTCTGATTGGCCATTGGTTGTGCGCGCATTCAATCACGCGTTAGGCAATGACGTGTCCCACAGTAATTAAAAAATGTGTGCTATGTTGACTCAATTTTTTTAAACATTCCAACTTTTTCCGAAATGTTTGCTTAAATAGTGTTTTTAATAAAGTATGTGAAAATTTTGTAATCGATGTCACTGCCGCAAAATCCATTTTAAAATATCCGACTTTCCATTAGATAAACGATCGATTGGACAGGGCTCTAATGAACGATGCAAGAGCAAATGAGTCAGAGTTTGCTCAACAGGAGTTAAAGAATCAACTTCGAGATGCCCACAACTCCGCTAACGAACTGGCCAATCGAGTAGAAGTCCTCTTGGCTGAAAAAGAAGCTCTCAAACGAGTAATGTGTGAATTTCCAAATACTTTAGAAATAAAAACCCAAAATCGAAAGATCAAAAATGCATTTATTAATGCTTGTCTAAATTATTTTGGCTTTGCTATGTAATAAGCGGCGAGTATTTTGTAATTCCCTATTTTCAACTCCTGTCACACAGGATGCAAATATATGGAATGGCGAGAAGTCTGACCTTTTGGCATCTCGTGGTCTTCTTGAACAACGAATTGCATCTTTGGAGAGGCAACTTGAAGAAATTAGAGGCAAACTCCACCTTGAGTGTGAGGAAGCAAGGGCAGCCAAAATGGAAGGTCAGCAACTTCTGCTTGAGAGGAATTCCCAAACCGTCCAGTTTAATGCTCTTGTGTAGGTATTTTCATACTATCCTAAAATAAACCTTTACGTGATTTATTTTTTTAAATATTTAATGGGTACATATTTTTTCCGCATCAAAATAGTTTATTTTATTTCATATGGCAGGCGTTTTGATAGTTAGCATTAGCCCTTTGGCTGACTTCAGGCTTTAAAGAGGTGAAAGAGTCAGACAGACACAAAGGCAGAGAAAAGGTAAGCTGAGTGCTGTGAAAGGGGTCGTATAAGACATAGAGTCGAGTCATGGTAGTTTGAAGTCAGTAGTCAACTGCCAGTTAATAGACTTTTTTACCGTATGAATATGCGTTTCCCAGGGTGTCCCACGTGGAGGTAAGTCTATCGCACACCCCGTCGAGAGCAATATAATTTCTGCCAATTCCTCATGGATGCACTTTAACCGTTCATAGACGCGCCTTCTAACATGCCCCCAATTTCAATNACTTTGTTCACAAAACAGAAGAACACAGTTAATGAGCACATTTGTAGCGGATTGCTACCTTAGTAAACCCCGACTGACTCAGAAATCTCTATGGCAGACTCTCCAACATCTAGCTAGACTCCCAGAACTAGCTAATCTATAGCCCAGTTATGAAGGAAACAGACGTGTAGCACGGAGCACGTTTATTCAGGGAGTATATTGCGGATAAAGTGTGTACACGCAGGGAGCTACTCAAGATCAGGATGGGGGATTAGGTTAAACAGAGGTTAATGATTGGTCACTGTTTGTACGGTCGCTGCACACAGAGTTGTACGATCACACTTCCCAATCCTGGCGAGCAGACATGCAGGCATACGATGACGCACACAGCGATAACGTGTACCACATATTCATTCTTACTACATGAGGAATGTTCTACAATTTGGGTGTCATGTCAAATACGCGATACCTTCAAACACACTTTCATGTAAGTAACTTAAGCCTCCTAAAATGCAATCCGTAAGGTCGATTTGTCCATCGAGAGATTTTGAAAGATCTTCACTTTATCCTCCATTATGTTCACAAGTCGTGTCTAGTATGTGTTATTCTTAGGTGAGTGTATAGTGTAGAGAACAACAATCATGTTTGATAATTGAAAGTGGACTTCGTGAATTCCAAATTTGGTTTGAGTTGCACGAAGCATTCCTTCGGAAATTGGAAATGAACATTGACTTTAGATTTCTTGATTCACAAAGTTGGCTTTAAGATTACTAGCGTTTGGTCCAATGAAATAGTTTGGAAGATTTTCTTAAAATGTGAGATGAAATGTGAGTTGTTTAACATATAATGGAGCTTTAAATCATCGATTTAAATTAGACTGTATCGACACAGTCTATAATATTTAACGTGTATTTTACAGTCCCAATTAAACCGTAAAAACTCAGTAACTAACTGGTAGAAATTTCATATAAATACACACAGCCTATGAAGTCATTTAATAGAACTTCAGCAAATAAAATTTCATAGAGTTCAGCCTCAACAAAATCTTCTCCATTTACCTTTTCTACTCATACACAATCTTCTAATAGTAACAGTAAAATCACCTGGAAATTTAATGAGTGTACTTCTTGCATGATCGGTACAATCGTTGGTCAATTAAATTGAGTGAATGTGAAAAAAAGTTGAGGTTGACAACTCTTATTTCAGCATGACTGGCACAAAGTCTACAAAATGGAAGGGCTTTAAGAACTGCATAGCAAAGTAGGTGGCAGAATGTCTGCGACTATCGACGTTACATTGCCAACCAACTATCACAACGAACTGGCTACAAAAAACTGCCAATATTTTTGAATTGCATGATCGCTGAGGAGGTGAAATATTTGACTCATTCTTTCATCGAAATCTCAATGACCATCTAAATATGTAAAGAATAAACCAAGTTTATCTGAATTCAAGTTGGTTGAAATCAAGGTTATTACAGCGTATGAAATTATATGGGCTATCCTTAAATCGATCAATATTTAACTTAGTAGCGTCTACCTGCACACTATTAATCAGTGACTTATTACATCGCAGGTCCAATTTATTCTTATATTAGCACTTCAATTGCACAGAAAATAAAACCTCCAATACTTATTGAGGGGAACCGTCGTATGGTAACCTTCAAATTTTAGGCCAATTCATCAAGCAGAGAAAGTAAAGTGGAAGTAGAATGAGAAGTGGATTACTCTAGGTTCATTTTGATTATCAATTGGGCACCGGATATATCGACTTTCACTTTTTGAATAAATGCTAAGTTTTAGAATAAGTCAATCGTTCAAGCACCCAAAATGCCCGATGATATTAAACTGTGAACTCTTCTTACACTCTAAATTGTTACTCTCAAGTTCAAAAGGCCCTTTCTTGTGGTATAACTTAAAGCTTTCCAATCGGCATCACGCATTTAAATATCATTGATTTCAGCTGTTCCAATTTTGGACGTTTGAAACTGTCTACTAATAGCCAGGCATGTGAATTGATTTCACTTCCTTACTTTGTACGTAAAGGTATAATTTACATATTCAATCAGTCATGGCAAAATATCACTCGCATAGCGCATCAAAGAATCAATTGCAATGCTGCTTTATCTCTCTCTTGAGCCAAATGCTCATGTGATAGTAATGTGCCTTGTTCGGTGCGAATCAATTTGCGGAAATTTTTCATTGGATTAAAGAGCAAAAATATAAGTGACATCGAGCTTGCCCGAACGGGTGTAACTGAAGTATGCTAAAAATCATCCTTCTGCTGGTTTATGCCTATCTTACCAATACACGAATAGCGTCGCATAGGCAAAAGGCAGCAATTCTACATGACCACAATCGAGTTCGAGGGAACGTTAATCCTACAGCGACAAATATGCTTGACATGGTAATTTTCAAATAGTTTTACCTTTTTGAAGGCAATTACTTTTCATCTATTAATTCTCGTCTGCAGCGCTATGATAGTGCGTTAGCAGAATTAGCACAGTTACAGGCTTCGAAATGTGGACTTGAACAAGAAATCGGCCAGACCGCAGTACTCACAAGTCAAGATCTTAATGGGCTTAAAAGACACAGAGAAGAGGTTAATTCAGATGTGGACATCAGAAGCAAACCTCTGAAATTACCTGTAGAGCTGAGATATATGCTCCACAAAATAGCGGATTTATAATCGCATGGCATTGTTTTAAATGGACATCTGGAAGACGAATCAATTTTAAAGAAAGCCATGCACTATTTGTTTGCATAGAAATTGTGTAGAAATTGAAGCTTTATTACAGTTACCTAAATGTGAATAATAGCGATGATCACCGTGTGATAATGAGTGCTGCAATCCCTTAGCCATTAGAGTGTAAAAGATGTGGAAATGTGCTCAGAAAGCCCTGATAACTAATTAATTAAAAATTGAACTGAATAATAGCGAAGGGGATTGTTTAATTAAAATCAATCCAAGCTGAGATTTAAACACGTGACCTCTGATCACTCTATGTGAATGTGAATGTAAGGGCTTTGCCAAGCCTTCATAAAACAAATNAAATTAGAGGCAAACTCCACCTTGAGTGTGAGGAAGCAAGGGCAGCCAAAATGGAAGGTCAGCAACTTCTGCTTGAGAGGAATTCCCAAACCGTCCAGTTTAATGCTCTTGTGTAGGTATTTTCATACTATCCTAAAATAAACCTTTACGTGATTTATTTTTTTAAATATTTAATGGGTACATATTTTTTCCGCATCAAAATAGTTTATTTTATTTCATATGGCAGGCGTTTTGATAGTTAGCATTAGCCCTTTGGCTGACTTCAGGCTTTAAAGAGGTGAAAGAGTCAGACAGACACAAAGGCAGAGAAAAGGTAAGCTGAGTGCTGTGAAAGGGGTCGTATAAGACATAGAGTCGAGTCATGGTAGTTTGAAGTCAGTAGTCAACTGCCAGTTAATAGACTTTTTTACCGTATGAATATGCGTTTCCCAGGGTGTCCCACGTGGAGGTAAGTCTATCGCACACCCCGTCGAGAGCAATATAATTTCTGCCAATTCCTCATGGATGCACTTTAACCGTTCATAGACGCGCCTTCTAACATGCCCCCAATTTCAATACAACATAATCACTATTTCGAAAGTTTAACATATTCTAGAACAAAATATTGTTGTTTATTGATCAATAATAATTTTTTCAATTTTTAGAGAATCATTGGCAGCAACTTTAAGTACTATTGACTCCCCTTGTGATGCCTCAGAAGCTGCTGTCAAGGAAACCGTTGGAAAGATGATGGCGGAGCTACTGAGATTAAGAAAGGTAAAAATAAATATTTTTAAAGTAAAAAATTAAATAGTAAGAAAAAATAAGCCAAATGGACTTCCTTTCAATGGAAATGTATTCTCCCATTATTGATAGATAAAGCACATTTGAATGAACCTATCGCTATGAGAGGAAATTCTTTTTAGGCTGGAATTGACCTTGAAAGGAAGACTGAACAACTTTTAAAGCAGTTTGAGTCCCAGTTTGCAAATGGTCAATCGCTTTGTGAGGAATTGGATGCTTTGAGACGAGAACTGGACGATGAAAGGAGGGTCAAGGAGCGCATTCAGTGTGAACTTGAAGGATTTCGACTGATTAACAGCCAAAGACAACTCACACCACAGGTAATTACTTTCTTAAAAATTCTGATTTTTTTCTCAAATCCTAGTCTTTCATGAGTTTCAGTTGGAAAAAAACGCCTCCATTCAAACTGCACCCGAATTTGGTCTGAAGTTTTCAATTTTAGAATTATGAGTATATTATTGAAATAGTACTTTAATTAATAAATAAATTTTACATGCTTTAAAATCGATCAAAAGATGGATGGTGTGTCTAATTTATTAACACGGTTTTTAACTGTGTATTGTGCGTTTTGCGACTTAGTCTATGGATTTATAGGGATGCAAAAGCGGACTTCATAAGAGATGAAATTTTAACTTACAATTGTTAACTTACAAATTTGTCATATGCTGTTTTTTTGTCTCTTTGAATTGCCTTCTGCATTTCAGAAACTCGGAAAGATTGTGGACATCTGCGAAAAACTTTCCATTCCTGTAGAGAAGCATCCCCATTCGGACTTATTTGAATTAGTGGCAGGCAAAATAACCTTTATATTTACCTTTTTCTGGCTTGTTTTAATTGTATAACGTGCTGTGTCCTTTTTTTTAAAGTTAAAATTTCGGATCTCATCGAACAGGGATGCATTTCACCAGAATGTATTCAAGGCTCGGAGTCGATCAAAGTCAGTTCCCTGGTGAAGAAAGCAGAGCATAATCACAAGCAGGCAAAGTGCGGCTTTAGAAATGGGTGAGTCATTAGAGAGTACTACCATGGACCCATTGTAGTCAACATTGTGAAAAGAATCCGCCATAATTGCTCACTATGAGGCTGCTTTGACTGGAATAAAGCAGCCTCATAGCAGACCATCTAATGTAATTCGATAGCGTCGGCCCAGCAGATCATCTCGAAAATCTCCTCCTGTGTGCACTATTGGAGCACTCCGACAACTCGATTCGGTTTTTGTCACCACAGCCGATTTAGTATTTCAAATTCCCCCCCCCCCATAGTACAAGTGTCGCAGAGGTCAATTTCCCACCGAAAAGGTCTACGAAAAGCACTGAAAGTTCGGAGGAAAGTGAAAGGCCCCGATGAAGTACAAATAAACTGTTTTTTTTCGAAGGGAAAACTTTTGTCAAGATCAAGTGCATAGTACGCGGAATAACTGATGGATTGGCTGAAAGGGCACTCGTCGAATCATGAAGGCTCAATTTGCCTAAACTGTCATGGTTTCGGATGCGACATCCTCTCATGAGGATAATGCGACGTCCACCCACCCACGTATATCTTGAAAGCAAATGTTAGATTGGATTAAAATGCCTACTTGGGACAGCCTATAATTGTGATAGTGAGACCCTGGGTACCGAAAGGGGGTAGGCCATCATAGATCGTATGCATGTTGGCAGCAGGACTTGCCTCCTTGCCACAACTCAATCACAGCTCCCCTTCCCACTCCGCACAACTTAACCCGATGAACTACTATGTCCAAACAGGTTAAGGATGAACACTGCCGAGATAGACGCTGAACTCCGTGTCAGTACTACAAAAGTCCGCCAGTTAATAAATAGACTGAAACATGTATTGGGACCCTTCCTAAGTAAAAGGCAAAATAACTTGACCCGGGCCGGATTGAGGTCTTAATAGATATTAAATGTGCTTATTTTAAGTAAATTTAGTGCAATTTCCACATATACGGAACTTTTTTTCTTCCTGAAAAGACGCCCTTTTTGGCAAACACGTTGTATCATCACAATTGAATTAAACATCAATTTTTAATTACTAATTGGCAAATGAAAGATACTCTGCTTTTAGTACAGACAACTGTTCCAGTTGTTCCCACCTTCTCACCACTCCACTCGACTTGGCCAGCCGAGCACCAGATTGGACCGACCTTGAAGAGAAGAGAGTGCAGCTCCTCTGCGCCAATTGTCTCTCCTGTCTCGCAATGGCCTTGAAACAACGACTGCGCGCGATATTAAACAGCGATGTACTCAATGAAAAACGTGAGAAGAATTTACTTGAAGAGTTAGATAAGTCAAAAAAGGAAGTTGAGGAGCTTCATGAAAAAATCCTGACGATTGAAAATGAAAAGGTTTGCTCACTTCCAATATTTCATTAAAAAAATAACTTTAAGTGCACTTAAGCCTAAATAATAAAATAACTGCATGGAAATCGTCGAAGTTGTTTTCTAAGCTGCAATAATCAGATTCTGATGAAACTCAGTTATTTCCGTGTATGTATGTGGAAATTGAAGGATTTGAAATGGGCTTAAAGGTCATATGGAATATCCGCCTTGAGGCCTTTGGCTGGGTTATCAACGAGTTAGCTTGACCACTAAATTTTCCCAAAGTTCCTAACTGATTAACTATCAATCCTTTTTAAATATAATTATTTTAAATATTTTTCTTTTTTTCTAGAATTTAAGCCGTAAGTAGAAAGGTGTAGTGAAGACGAACCCTACGTATTTATATACGCCCACATTCAGTTTATTAATAAGTAATGGAGTTTTTAAAACGGTTGGACAATTGCGTCCAAACTATTTTTTTCTTTTAAATAACTCATGTTTAAAAGGAAATATGCCCTTTTGGTTATTTAAACTGTTAATGGTGAGTTTTCTACCTTTTTTTCTTAAGTCCGACGAATATGAAAAGCTGGAGCAAATGGTTTCAAAGCTGGAGGCTCTACGGCAGCACCAAGCAAAACGAATCGCAGGGCTTCAATCAAAATCTCAACGACAAAGCACCCTGGAGGTTCAGAAGGCTCAAGAATTAAGCGCCGCGAAGAGCTTTCTCGTTGAAAATCGCCAGAAACATTTAAGAGTAAGAGGCCAGCTTATTTTAGAAACATGATAAGCTTATCAGTTGATGCTCAAATGTAAGTTGAGTAGATAAATTGAAAACCCATCAGTACAGCAATCAGGTAATGGGTCAAATTAAATCCCGAATTAAATTAATATCGAGTTTTAAAAGAGTCCTTTATTGGGAGCTCTCATATAATGCTTTTGTCAAATTGATTGCCTTCGTAATTGCATTAACAATTATGGTGATTTCAGTTATTATAATGACATCATCATGCTAGTTAATTGATGGTGAATGACGCCTTCGAACTCAAAAGAACTCGACAATTTAATTAAAAATGGATGATTTCCATTCATTTCCGTTTACTATTTGAACTGACATTTTGCAGTATTGCATAGATTCTTTTTATTAAAGTAAGTGAATACAATAATCATAGGTACTAAATATCTCTTTTTATAAGCAATATATACATTGCATATTTTGTCTCATGAAAACACCTATCACCGGGGTCTTCATGTTTCCATAAATTCTTTCAGTTGCTGAACTTCCGAAATACCCTTGGAAGGCTTCTTGGAATTGATGCATGGTTGTATCCAAATTCTGAGGGCTTGATTATTCAGCGCATTCAGCAGATACTTATGAACTTTTCAACCCAAGGCATAAGTCTTTATTCACATCCAGCTACAATCTCCTACCCAGCAATTCCGTCTAGTTCTCCTGCCATTCAATTGCCGGCACTTACTTACTCTAAAGGTTAGTCAACTGCCTCAATACTGATAGGAATAAAATGTGCATTAAAATGTGTTTAAACTCTTCTAGACAGAACTGTTGATTCACCTGCACCATTATCCAATACTACAACAGTAAATTTCGCAAAACGAAATCCAACCGGACCCAGCCAGTTTACGCCCAAAACAGCATCCAGACGTTCACAGTCTGCAAGCGGCAAAAATGTCAGGAGATACTAAGCTGCCTGGCCTAGGTCCATTGAATTTTTACCAAGCGATATTTTTTTTGATAAATTTTATGACTGGCTTTAACATGACAAGATACTTTATGGTTCAAGTGAAATCATGGTATAGAGTCAAGTTTTTATCTCCAACACTGGCCCTGTAATGTAAACTTCAAAGAACAGGTCGATATTTTGATTGAAGTTTTGAATACAGAAAGGAAACATGATATCAATTTAAGGACACATGCGAATTATTGGGAAGGAGAAATGATATTGGAGGTGCCATCATTGAGTACTCATGTGTTTCAAGGTCATTCAGTGTACCAAATTGTATTAAATAAGCTTTGTTCCAAGTCTTTGGATGAATCTGGGGGATATCTAAAAGTGACATTTGACGATGAAAAAATAGACCACCCACGAGATAGAATGAGCAGGCAGTGGATATCGGATACATAAGAACACCAAGGATTGAAATTCGAGATAAGTCAAAAGGGGTAAAGATTGGTTGAACGAAAGTTAATAAAACGTGGTGAAATAAAAGAAAAAGAAAGGTAGGGATTACTAGGAGTGCGTAGTTGCATCACGAATTATGTGACATCTATAAATAGCCAAACAGTATCATTCAACAGCTACGTTCGAGCTTAGTAAAGTCAACTGTAAATAAACAAACAAATTAAGCTTCATAAAAGGCTTAAAAATAGTTTTAGGAATATTAATGGGAGAATTTTCATTTATAAAATTAGTTGAATATCATTCAGAATGATTATGGAGTAAGTGAAATTCACCTGTCACCTCTGTAGACTAGGAAAATAAATTGGAAGAGAAATCTAAGAGTCACAAGTTGCAAGATTCTAATTACGGAAGTGCCATGAATTAATACTTTTAAAATGTCAACCCGATAGGAGAGACACAGAAGACCAATCAGTCAAGCAACAGTTTTAGTTTAAGAAATATCGAGTTATTGTTAATTCGAACCAAGGTAAGCATGAAGAAATAAGCAAACAAATAATATAGCATGTTAGCGAGAACGTCGAGTCTATACTTTAATGGGGATTAAATATGATCTCATAGCACACCGAATATGAATTTTTTTAAAAAATATTGAATTAACATAAATGTGTAATATTACATGCACACATTTCTTCCCGAAACAGACAAAAGTTTGCCAACCTTCGCAACTGTTTAATAATTGCAATGCAAACACTTCTAATTATGAACAAGTAAATCAAAAGTTTATAAGGCAATTGTAATTACATTTTCGGAAGAATGCATATTACGAACTGAAAATAACATACATTTCAAGAAAATATTACTATAAGAAGTCTAAGTATTTTTGCAAATAATATTTGAGTAAAGTTGCATTGTTTCGTTAACCAAAGACAGCATTAGGAGTTAATCAAATTACACGACATAAAAAATATAAGATATATTTGTGTTTGTTTAATCAGCCTCTAACGATCGTAAAAATGAAAATCACAATTACATAAAAAATAATTTAAATTTGTCCTTCAAATGTTTGTTCCATAATAAATGCTTGAGATAAGTTATTGAAAATTATTTGTTTTGGTCAACGTTAAATAAAGCCTCCTAAGGTCGCTTCGCACCCAATGGCTGTTTTTGAGATTTAACGGTTTGAGTTTGTAGGTGCTTTTGGGATGCGTTTGTTTTATTGATTATAGATTGCACAGTTGCTAATTTTGTAATATCTTGTAATAATTTTTCAAATGAGCGACACTCCTTTTAAAATTTTGCGACGCCCCACGCAACCTGAACCAGAAAATGAAGAAGAGGTTGAACCGTAAGTTCTACTCATGATTTTGTTGGTTTTGCGCTTCAATATTTCTAACTTTTTGAATTTACTTATTTTATTATAGGCCTCCAACCCAAACAAAGACTTTAGAGGAAAAAGAAGCCCATTATGCTAGTGTTCGGCGTAGGATAATGGGTGAAGATTATAATCCAAATGTAAACATTACCGAAGAGAGTAGTGTTGAAAAATCTTCGGAAACCAAGCAGCTTGACAAAAACTCATCGGTAACTTCTTCGGTGCCTGTGTCTGCTAATAAGTCACCACCAAATAAGCCTGCTGCCGTTCCGTTGATGTCCATTCCAACACCTGCTCTCGCATATAACAAGTCATTCGAAGGCAGCAAGGAGATTCTCGATTTGATGATGTCAAGTCGTCAAAATCAAATGCCTTTGCTGGGGGCTCCTCAGCCGAATCTTGGAGGAAGTGGAAGTTCGAACTTTATTTCCAGCGCCCCAGTACGAGGCCGTCACTCTGACAGTTCACTTCAACACAGTTTTGCCTCTGCATCAAAGATATATGGTGTTACCTCCCCTGATCTCTACAGTAATTTCTCCCCGATCCCTAATTCAAATCCTCCTCAATTGTCCTCCAGACAGTCTTTACCTACTATGACCCAACCGCTGGATTCACCAGCCTTTCAGATGACACAGCAGTATCAGAATTGGGGAATGATGTATCCTCAGGTCCCCCAGTCTAGTGTACCGCCTTTCGTTCCATCTGCACCAACGCAGCAGCCCCAGCAGACTTTTATGCAAGGGGGATATGATGCAAGTGGACTAAATCTACCTCCTCGTTACCAGCACTTTCCCCCTTCTTCAGGCCAACCCCCACCCTACTATCACCCCTCAGTTCCCACGACAACAACAAGGTAGATATGCCCTTATTCTCCCATCCTTTTGTTCTTTAGTTGAATATATGTATCTATTGTGTATATGAGGCTGAAGTTTTTTTGCTGTGAATTTGACTGTGATTGTTAGGTTTACATTAGTTTGTATAGATTGGCTCATCTTCTTGAGGTCATTATAAGGCCAAAAATGCTGGCCTTATTGATCATATTTGTCTGTTTGTAGGATAGAAGCGACAAAGGAATTTTAATTCTTTATTGTTAGTTATTGATGTTTCTTTAATACAATATCATTGACTTCTGTACTGAGATATTGATTTTCTGCGTCTGTTAGGCTAAAATTTGGTAAAAATCGTTTGGCTTTGAGTTTTTCCTGATTTTGCCTGAATTTCTTCTAACTCAAAATGAAAGGCTACTATTTATACGCTATTTATTACGATTTGACTTATTGTTCTCGAATATTTCTTCATGTGCTTTCTAGAGTGTATATATAAAAGGATAAATCCACGATTTGCGTCATTTTTGGTTGGTTATGGGTTGCCCAGACATCTATTATTGATATTACGTTTTTGTTTTCTTGGGTCTGTTCCTTTTTTTAATACTTGGAATTACGTCACTTCCCCGATCTTTCAATTATCTATGAGAAGAGAGAAATGTGCTTACTATTTCATCCTTTTAGGAGGTTTCTGCAAAGTCCACTACTTGGATTCAGAATTTACGTTTCTTTGTTTCTCAAACATAGCTCAACGGCCTGTGTTTTTAATGTTTCAGTGCCGGCAATTCTGTTTTGTTCCTCTGTTACTTAAGTGAATTAAGGTTCGGAGTTCATTAAAAGCTAGCTGATTTGTTTTCTTCTTCTAGCTGACTCAAGCATTATTTTCACAAATTAGAGTTCACTCAAGTTTTTACCCTCATCTTCAAGCACAATTTGTTTAGTCAAATAATGATTAGCTATGCACTTAACGCCTCTCTTTTTAAGTGGTATGATCATTAGATGTGTGAGGATTTGTTGTATCTTTTTTTGGTAAAGAAAAGCATAAGAGTATTTCGTAATGATAAAAATAGAACTCACGTTGGACCTAATTTTGCTGACTGATTCTGCTCTCTCTCACTCTTTCTCTCATTTGGCGGGGGGAGACACTTTTAAGCATCTCATGACTGACGTGTTTGCACTTCGCCCCTCATCGATGCTTTGTTTGATTTATTACAATCAATCAATAACACACCAACACCACCAGCTGGTAAAATTGTATCAGTTTTATCTGCAATCTGATTAAATAAATCCATTTAGGTACTCTTGTTCTGTCCGTTTTTACTAGGTTGAAAAAAGCTATAATGAAGATTGAATTGTAATCTAAATATTTACTGTAGATGACCGGTGCACCGCTATTATTCACGTAGAACCTCTGGGCTTAGAATAATAGATCGTAGATGGAAAAGGTAATGAAATTTGAAAATGGGAGGAATTGGTAGACATACGGGCTTAGATTAATGAGTGCGCTCGCTCAATTAAGGGGTTTGAGAGAATTCGAGTTTCTCAGCAAGAGGTTTCAGGACCCCCCCCCCCTCCCCCCAAAGGAAGATTTGTATTGCAGTACGCCTTCCCATGTAGATTTGCTATGTTTTATCGACAGTTTAAGGGGATAGGACATATGTGTTTGTTTAACTCAGTAATAACTATTTTCGTACTTGCGGTGTCTATGCAGACTAAACTAAACTGAATTTAAATTAGACTCTCATTTGAATCGCGTTTTTTATTTTGGTTTTGGTTGTTTAGAATTACTATGCTGGGTCTGTGTGAAAATCGAGTGCTTGGCATGCAGTCGTCAAAAATTTGCTATCAATCTTAACATAGGAACTAATTAGGTTTAACCACAAGGTTGAAATCTGAACTGAATTTAGCTTATTTGGGGTTAAAGGTGAGAAAAATCAATTCTAGTCAGGATCCACACCAGGTGTAACTTTTGAAAGTCTCCTGAACTCAGCTCAACGTGCTTTTCATTAAGAGGTCGTCTGCAATTAATCCTAAGCGATGGCTAAAATACGCACTTCCTTTAGAAGAATTGACGCTGCATAACAAGTAGTTAAGTGGAATAAATTCGATTAATAAAATTGATTATTTGGTAAACTGCCATCAGCTGGTCAGAAATATGTCGGAACGTGTGCTCTTCATTAGAAGGATTCCCGGATGCAAACTCGTTTTCGAAATACTTTTTTCGAATGTTAAGAAAACATTCGAGGCAAACGCCTGCTAAATCACTAAAGCAGTAGTTTGCTAAAAGTATTGGTTTCCGAGATTTATTCGTGGGGTAATTTGAAGATAAAAAATGTTAGTACTTCGTAATCACCCATTAACTGACGTGTCATCAAGCTGTTCTCATATTTTGGTGTTCCAGAAATGAATATATTATTATCCGTACCAGTGCTCAGAAGAGATGAATTCGCAAGGACGTTAAGTCGGTGTTTGTAATTGAATCTGAGACAGTTTCGTTTGAGGTAATGATTGGCCAAAATTTTTATAGCACGTAAATAAAATGGTGATATTCAATCATTTCGTAGTTTGGATTTAATTTAGGAATGTTTCCATTTGTGAGAAGATGGGCTTTAAAACACCGATTAAAATTTAATTACGGAAATTGTAATAAGCTTCAGAGAACTCGGTTGTTCATGCAGTTCCACTAATATGGTCCTAAAGTGAAGTATGGGTTTGAAATTTGGCTTTTTAATCTATATTTTAATTGTCTGAATCATCTATACAAATGTCAATGCTAAATGTAATAAAATCATCGAAACTCGAAGAGCCCGAGGGATCAAAGAGAAGTCTGCTAAAAGATTTAAGTTTAGACACACTCATTAACGCGCATTTTTCGACTAATTTTAAAATGCATTGTAATCAAAACATGTATAGAATGAATATATTCAATAGTGAACATAAAGAAATATCTTAATTAAACTTGCTAAAATTCTAACATCGTGAAACGCTGAGCACTGAAATTTTGATCTAGAGCTATATTCACTATTGATATAAAGCTATTGAGCGCTAGTTTCTTTATAATATGACAAATATATCGGCCGAATCATTGAAACTCATTTCGTTATATAGCTCAAAAGTTAAAATGAAAAACATGTGTGATTTTGTATTCTTAAATGGTTAATCGCGAAATAAATTTAGTAAAATTTAATAATGAAGAGATTACTATGGAAAGTATGTTGAGAAATATAATTTAAGTCAAGAAAAAGGATCTAAGCACAAATTTTAAGAACTTAAATAAAGAAACCATTTATTAAAACGTCGTGGACAGTTAGCTGAACTACATGAAAATCTCGTTCCAAATTACACAGCCACTGACTCTCTCGTTATTGAGTAAAACGTTTCAATCCTTAAATCTTAAACGCTTCGTTTTAATATATTCGACTATTCATAATTAAATATCATAAATGTCTTCGATGCAACTAATAACAGAAAACCATTCCATGTAATCAATATAAATATGTAAAACTCGCACCTTATTTAGTCCTATTAATGTATTTTGATTATAAAATGCTCAAGGAATTTGTTTTATTCAATCGATGACATTCAAAGGAATTGAAATGCTCGTTATTGCCTGCACTTTCGGATTGATGGAGGGGGATGTACCCCTGGTAAATAACTTTGATTCTTTTGATCTTAATTCTCGTAAATTTGAGCTTTTCAACAAAAATGGTTTTAATACTTTTATTTCTTGAATTTTAACTTTTTAAATATTTGAATGCACTAAGTGAGATGTTATAAACAGATCGATTCGATTTATTTCTCCATACTTTACGTCATTTTACACTTTTACTGGTATATTTTTTGATTTCGTATTTCTCTGAAGCAGAGTGATGTTATCGCTGGGTTTTCTTTAATATCTTAAGAGCGTTACAGAATCCTTTTTGAGCCTTCGTCTCAAAGCGGCCTGTCTTGAAGCAAAACAGTTGCCTCAACCGACCTTTTTCACATATGGTGTGTTTTAATCGAATAATTAATTTTTAATAGAACCAAAGATCACGAAAACACCTGCTCACGATTCTACATTATATAAAATATATAACAAACTCATGGAGTTGAAAGGTATTTTTGATAACATTTCCTCTTATTCATCATGATCATGTTTGTTGTATTATTTACTTTTTCATTTTTTCCAGAAATTAGCTTATGGAATGTATGCTACAACCGGCTTGGGAATGGGCAAGAGTTTGTTAGCTTTTCAACTTCACTTGACGGATTAACAGTTCGTACTGAAATTCATCAACCTCCTCAAGCTGCTCATATGTATAATAGTTTTTTAATGATTTCAATGTAAATCTTTCTCCTTATCATTATTTTATCATTTTATAGGTCAGAAACTTTCCGAGTTCTTTGTGAACCGCTGATTTCCCTTTGTCGTGAAAGCTTCTCATTTGAAGAATTGATGCAGCCTCAAACTTTTATTTCCGAAGTCATCCACCCAGCAATTCTCGAAGAATTGTTGGGTACAAAAATTTCTTAATGTGATAACGGATAAATGTGAATGTGTTTTCAGTCTGTATAAACGTTGTTATTCAAATTGATTCTTGTCGTAGCTTTTTTCGTTTTTTTACGATTCCTTTTTGTAAAAAAGTTAACTACTCAACGGCTCATGTTCCATTCGTTTGTTCAAGTTGGACAATTGATCATCGAGTTTATGGGTTCAATTGATCTAATGTCCATAGTAAATGCGGATTTGTTCAAAAGTCCCATCTATTTGCGCATTTTTATCTGTTTTGAGAGGACTTAAAGCACGACTAATTCTATCTCCATTGATAGATCAATGCCAACCTAGAAATATAGAGAGTTGATTTAACTTCTGGATTAGATGGATACAAAATCACAGTGGCCTTAGTTAAATGGTAGTAAAACCTTCCCTAATGGTGTTGCGTCGTTAAGAAAAGCCGGGACTCTGTCAATAAATTCGATCTCATTTTAGAGCAGTTATTCCCTAGTGGACATTCAGCAATGGAATTTGAGTTTTCAGAAATATTATAATAGGCCTCTTGAATGCCTATTATTACGTCATGAATCGTCTGCTCATGTTTGAACCTTGACCTGATGGATTTGCAATCAGCGTCCTCCAATGTGTAAATATATTCTTGTGCTAATAATTGATACAAAACACTAATCTCATTATCAAGTAGAGTGATGCTTCTACCAAAAGCAGAATTCGTTCAAGATTCTCTTCTTTTTTTTGCATTTCAATTACTGCAGCTTCTATTTAGAATCGTGATATTGGAAACATGGTGTACCAGTATGTCTTTAAAGCAATGTATTTAAAGTTCACTTGATGGGGCTGCGATTCAGAATGCAAAACATTTGGCCCAAGACATTACAAGATGTTAATCGACCTTTGTATTATTGAGGTTACTTGAATCCCGAAAGTAGTTTTTACATGACTTAGAAGAAAGTGTGGCATTTGATTGTTGGAAGGAAAACGGGAGATTTTTGTTACATAGGTACTAAGGGACACCACAGGAATTTTTAAACATATTTTATTTAAATTACATAGTTAATATATCGTAAATTGTCCAAATATTCACGTCAATGAAATAGACGCGCCGTTAACCACTTGCCTGCATTTTAGAAAAAATTCTGTGATGGCTTTATATTTTGGATCATAGGTGCGCGATAGACATACCTCCACGTGGTGCACTCTGCGCAATTTTTCTTTGAATTCAAAATCCCATTACCAAAAACAATTTGATTCCACCTCGAGGTTCCTCTTTCCGATAAGCTATCACAGATTCACAAACTATCTTCACCTATGAAAACCACTTATTCTTATCAATAAATAATAAAATAATAATAATAAAAAAATATTTTTGACTCACACGTGAAAATGAAAGTAACGTTTGAGATTCCATTTCTTTAAATATTTGAAAGGAAGATTGCGGTTATGCAAACTTCAAGCTTAAAAGTACTTTCTTCCAGTATGGACTTGTAAATAATGGTGTCCTATATCTCCATTCGAGAATTAGAGCACAACATTTATTGTACATTTATTTCCTTTCAGAAAGGCTAAATTTGAAAATCGAGGCAAGCTTAATTTTAAAATTGTTTAAATTATTACCTATGTCTGGCACAATTGCATGCCTTTTAAACCAGAGAAAGATTTAAAGAGGCATTTTTAGGTATTATTTTTATCACATCACCAAGGTTACCCTCTTATTTAAAAGTCTCTTTATCACTAGGTCACTTAGTCGCCGTTTCTGAAAGCCGTATTTATTTATTTATATCAAATGGCAGGCGTCTTGATGGTTATCATTAGCCCTTTAGTTGACTTCAGGGTTCACAGATAGGAAGGTACATCAAATTGAAAAAAGTCGAGAGGGGG